ATACATACATACATACATACATACATACATACATACATACATACATTTTTTAAAAAAAAATCTTGAAACCATCAGTTGGACAACCACAGCCATCAAACCCAGTCATGATGGCCAATGAGAAGATGATTGTAGGAGTGATAGTATCAGATGGCCTTCTCAGATGATAAAGGCTAGATTTATTGAAAAATATGATTTGCTCTAATGGCATCTCTTATTTACCAACACCATCTGATGAGTTCTGTCCTATGCAGCTTAAATGATTGGTATTCTTTCCAACGGTTTGAGCTTGTTATAGTTCAGATGCAATTTCTTAGCTACTTTGCACCCCGATTCAATCACTTTGTATTTGAATTACTAACGTATGAAGCTTCTGTTTTAAATATTTTTAGCTGATAGAGAATTGACTCCATCAGTTTTGAAAAGTCTAGGTCAAAACTATTTCAATATGGGGGGAGGAGAGAAATAAATGAAGTGTGGCTTTGTCTGAAATTTGATTGACAGACCGCTCCCACTTTTTTCATTGCAAAAAGATGTTTTATCCTCTTTTCCAGGAGTTATCTTTGTTGACTGTGTATCTTCTCAACTAATACCAAATAAAAAAGCTGCTTCTTATTTGGGATTCAAGCAGTTTCTTTAAACCAACATATTAGTTAGGCATGTAAATCTGTTTATTGTAGCTTCAGAAATACTGCCAGGGTATGAAGCATCTGGAGCTTGAGAGCAACTGCAAAACTAATTTGCAAATTTAAGAGATTTGGTTCTGCCTTTGTAAAATGTTTGCTAAATTCAACGGTTATCTATAAGATCATGTGTTTTGCTTTTTTAAAGATCATAGTATGCAAAACCCTTGGTTTATGTTCTGCTAATCTAACTCCCCAATCTGCTACAGGAATTGATTTAGAAAAGTGGATAAAGACTGATACAGTTCTGCATAAATGATCTGAACTAGCTACATGTAATTCAGTTGAAGAATTCTAAGTATGTACATGAAAACAGCGTTAATAAAGAATTTCTGCTAGAAGCAACTTTCTCCCTCTAAAAGAAGAGGCATTCTCAGTCTCCTTCTCTTAAAAATCCAGTGTGTAATTTACATACCTACAATGTTTCTCTGTAAACTATACCAGGGGCCCCAAGAGCTGGGAGCTAGAAGATATATATTGGAATTTCAAAAACATGTTTTGGGTACTGTGGGAGATGGTCCCATGGGGGTGGCTTGTTCATTCAGAAAGAGTTACAGTGTCCGTGACCAGTCGCCAAACACTTATTTACC